CAGCTACTTGGGAGGCAGAGGCAGGAGAATTGCTTGAGCCCAGGAATTGGAGGTTGCTGTGAGCTACCACAGCACCCTACCCAGGGTGACAGCTTGAGGCTCTTTTCTTTTGGCCAGGGCTGGGTTTGAACCCACCACCTCTGGCATATGGGGCCAGCACCTTACTCCTTGAGCCACAGGCACTGCCCAACGCTCTCTCTTAAAAAAAAGAAAGTGACCTTGATTTTTTGTCTGACCTCATGAAGGTCCAGTTTCTCTGAGATCTATTTTCTCTTAAAACATAGAAAAGCTTGTGTTTGTGTATCTTTTTATGTGTTCTTGGATATATGATTTGGGATTTTGTTATAGTGGATCTAAAATAAAAACAATTTGACCAAAATTACCATCATTTATCTGAGTTTTTGTTGTTGTTGTTGTTGTTGTTTTTTGAGACAGAAGTTTTACTCTGTCTCCTTGGTAGAGTGCCGTGGCATCATAGCTCATAGCAACCTCAAACTCTTAGGCTCAAGAGATCCTCTTGCCTCAGCCTCCCAAGTAGCTAGGACTGCAGGCACTTGCCACATACAACACCTGGCTAGTTTTTCTAATTTTAGTAGAGATGGGATCTTGCTCTTAGCTCACTTTGGTCTCTAATCCCTGAGCTCAAGTAATCCACTGCTTCAGCCTCCCAAATTACTAGGATTACAGGTATGAACCACAGAGCCTGGCTCTTGAAAGATTTTGTATGTGGATCTTGTCCAAAGGAATATAATTGTCGAATTCCCTTACAGCAAATACGCTTCTCGTGAGGTTCTGAGGCCAACGGCATCAACAGGTTTAGAATAAAATTTAATATTTATTTATTTTGAGACAGTCTCACTGTCACCCTCAGAAGAGTGCTGTGACGTCACAGCTCACAGCAACCTCCAACTCTTGGGCTTAAGTGATTCTCTTGCCTCAGCCTCCCAAGTAGCTGGGACTAAAGGTGCCCACCACAATGCCTGGCTATTTTTTGTTGCAGTTGTCATTGTCGTTTACCTGGCCCCAGCAGGGTTTGAACCCACCAACCTGGGTTTATGTGGCTGGCACTGTAACTACTGTGCTACAGTCACTGAGCTAAAATTTAATATTTAGTTAGTTCAGTTTTTGCTGCTTGTTTTTCAGGTCTGACAGTAGTTTATATCTTCCTTTTTTTTTTTTTTGCTCTCTGTTTAGGGTTCAGCAGATCTTGCTTTTTATCTAGGTAACATAACATTTCACAGAAGGCATTTGATGTCAAATGATTTAGGCAAGACATATTTAATCCTGAGATTGCAAAGCCAGTAGTATGACATTTTAAACAAGAGTATAAATTTGTGGCTTGGCGCCTGTGGTTCAAGTGGCTAAGGTGCCAGCCACATACACCTAAGGTGGCGGGTGGAATCCAGCCGGGGCCTGCCAAACAACAATGATGGCTGCAACCAAAAAATAGCCGGGCGTTGTG